AATACTGCTGCTGCTATGACTACTAGTTGTAGCCGAAGTAGTAATACTGCTGCTGCTATGATACTAGTTGTAGCCGAAGTAGTAATACTGCTGCTGCTATGACTACTAGTTGTAGCAGAAGTAGTAATACTGCTGCTGCTATGACTACTAGTTGTAGCCGAAGTAGTAATACTGCTGCTCCTGTGACTACTAGTTGTAGCCGAAGTAGTAATACTGCTGCTGCTATGACTACTAGTTGTAGCCGAAGTAGTAATACTGCTGCTGCTATGACTACTAGTTGTAGCCGAAGTAGTAATACTGCTGCTGCTATGACTACTAGTTGTAGCCGAAGTAGTAATACTGCTGCTGCTATGACTACTAGTTGTAGCCGAAGTAGTAATACTGCTGCTGCTATGACTACTAGTTGTAGCCGAAGTAGTAATACTGCTGCTGCTATGACTACTAGTTGTAGCCGAAGTAGTAATACTGCTGCTGCTATGACTACTAGTTGTAGCCGAAGTAGTAATACTGCTGCTGCTATGACTACTAGTTGTAGCCGAAGTAGTAATACTGCTGCTGCTATGACTACTAGTTGTAGCCGAAGTAGTAATACTGCTGCTGCTATGACTACTAGTTGTAGCCGAAGTAGTAATACTGCTGCTGCTATGACTACTAGTTGTAGCCGAAGTAGTAATACTGCTGCTGCTATGACTACTAGTTGTAGCCGAAGTAGTAATACTGCTGCTGCTATGACTACTAGTTGTAGCCGAAGTAGTAATACTGCTGCTGCTATGACTACTAGTTGTAGCCGAAGTAGTAATACTGCTGCTGCTATGACTACTAGTTGTAGCCGAAGTAGTAATACTGCTGCTGCTATGACTACTAGTTGTAGCCGAAGTAGTAATACTGCTGCTGCTATGACTACTAGTTGTAGCCGAAGTAGTAATACTGCTGCTGCTATGACTACTAGTTGTAGCCGAAGTAGTAATACTGCTGCTGCTATGACTACTAGTTGTAGCCGAAGTAGTAATACTGCTGCTGCTATGACTACTAGTTGTAGCCGAAGTAGTAATACTGCTGCTGCTATGACTACTAGTTGTAGCCGAAGTAGTAATACTGCTGCTGCTATGACTACTAGTTGTAGCCGAAGTGTTCCTCGTATTATGTGAGGTGCTTTTCATTTATTTTCATTGAATCATTAAAACAACCCATAAGGTCTGTACTATGATTGTCCCTGTTGCAGACTAGGCAATTTGACAGAAAGAAGTAGTAATTGGCCTAAGGGCACCTAGCCAGTTAGAAGTTGGAAGCCACACTCAAACCCAGATCAGCTTTGCCTTAAAGCCAAGTACTTTCAACTCTTCCATGCTGTGTCTTAAATGGGAAAAAAAATAAATAACAACACTTAGGTAAAGCAGAGTTTGGTGCTGGGTCTTCTTTCGTGCTTTTGTCATGCCATCTTTTCAAAGAATTTTAGACCATTTTTATGTAGTACGAATGCTCTATAAACTGTGTGAATGAGCCTACCTGTTAAAATAAATAAACATATACATTCTTGGCTCTAGTCAAATTGAATTAATCCCTGTTCCCCAGATTGTCCCCATTCCTGCCTCTGGCACTGGGAGGGTAGTTGTGGCAAGAGACCTAAATATAGATGAAAGAACAACTATTGCTTTCCAGTAGGGGAGTGACTAGGGAGTTAGGTGAATTGCAGTCTGGTTAGTTGGCATTCTTTCACTGTCACGTGGCAAACACTAATGGGCAAGAGGGATCAGCAGCCCTGAGGTAGGCTAGGTGGAGACTGGAGCCACTTTGGGTGTAAAGCTGCAAAGACTTCAAGATAGATCTGCAGAGTGGAGACTTCACAGGTGGTTAATGGGAAATTGACTCTAGAGTTACAACGTTTCAGGAAGGAACTGACACTAAAGACATCTGAAGCAGTCGAGAAGGATCCTGATACTGTCTTGGCCGTAGCTGCATTCAGCTACTTCCTCTCTTCCCTCCTCCCAATGGGCTTCTAATTGGTCTTGCTTTCTAGCTTGCGTTAGGACAGTTTGGGCCAAGTCTGTATCTCACTGGGGGTATTCTAACAGAATTAAGAAAGATGGCAAGGAAGGGAATCAAATCACACTAAAATGAAAATTAGGTAGCTTTCAAGAGGAGTCTTCAGGTTTTCATTTTCTGATTTTTAATGTCGAGGTTGGTTTTAAACTAGTCGGGCATCTTCTTGGGCTTACTCAGTCTCTTGGGCTCCTGGTCCCACATGTGTAATTAGGTAGCACCCTTCTGATTTTTTCTGGGTTATTCAGTGATATTGATACCAGAGGAGTGGTATGGGGAGGTCCACAGGAAGGAATTCAAGAGCAGAGTTGGAGTAGAAAGCAAAAGCGGGTTTAATGTAAAGAATGAGCAATACCCACTTCACAGGGTAAGTGCAGGCTGCCTCTACAGAGTGAGCAGCAGCCCCCACAAGTTTAGTACAAAAGTAAGAAATACATACTTCACAGACAAAGTGCAGGTTGGTGCAGGAGAGTGAGCAGCAGCCTGCTGAAGGCAGGTTTAACACAAAAAGGTATAGTATATACACCTCACAGGAGAAGTGCAGGGTGGCTACAGAAAGAATGAGCAACAGCCCCACCTTCTTCCTGGATTCTACTTTTATAGTTTGGCTATGTATACATATTCATGATATCTAATGAATATTTAACTAAGGGGGTGGTTCCCAGTTATGTAACATAGACTTGCACATGCTCAGGTGATCTCTTTGGAGCACCCTCCTTGATCAAATTCCACCAAATACTCTTAAAATATGCCAAGTGTTCTCCAGCACCTTCAGTGGAAGGTCGTTCTTAGGGCAAACTCCTTTCTACTGAGCATGCTCAGCCACTAGAATTACATAAGTCTACCTCCTGTGGTCTCAATCTCCAGGTGTTGGTGCCCAAATAAGTGCATGAAGGAACAGTAGCTCAGGACTCAGAGGAGAGGGTGGAGTCCTAGGGGAGTGGTTGGAGACTCAGAGGAGTGGCCTGAAGCCTGAACCCAGGGAAACTGAGCACCCCCTGTCTTAGTATGATGGTACAATCAGTATTTGAGGGCATGGGCTTCAGTGCCAGATGTGCCTGGGTTACAAGTTACATAGTCTGTCATATATGTACTGTCTTCATCTGTAAAACCAGGGTAAGAATGACATGTACTTCAAGTGGCTGTTGTGAAGATCAAATGAGAAAATGCAGATTTAGTCCTTAGCACAATTTTTGTGTACAGATTAAACAATCAGTGTGAGCTGCTACTATTATTATCATTATATGGGGTGTTGAAAAGAAGAAACCCTATTTGATCATGGGTAAGAAGACCCTAATTCATTCAGTGAGTGCTAATATTTCATCCCCTTTTTTTAAAGAAGGTCACTGACAGCATTTATATGCGTTATGGCATTTTCTATCTTGGCATTGATTTTGAATTCAGTACCAAAGTCAAAATGACAAATCCCTTTAACTTTTTTTCATTTGAGGTCAAAAGCCTTTCTTTTATTCACTAACTTGTTCAAGCAAGGTAGATAGCTATTGCATGCTCCCAAGCACTTGTAAGCTTGTTACAAATGCGTTGTCTGGTGGATTTAAACCTCTCTTCCTCTCGGGAAATGAAACTGCACCACTTTACTGAGCCATGCCATGTATCTAATCACTTACTATAGCTGAAAGCCAAAAAAATTTTGTTCTGTTCACTTGACATGAGAAAGGAGAAATCATTTTCCTAACATCCACCACCCCAAGATAAAACACAAAAATGTATTCCTAGATTTTTACCCTTCAATTTGGGCTGTATTACCTGGTTGGGAAAAAATAAATAAATGGAGTCTATCTTAGTCTAAGCTTTAAAATGGAAATCTAGTGTACTGGGGTGTCGTTGAACACTGCCTCAGCGAGGGATTCTCAAGCTTGTGCAGTCCAATTGTTACTGGAGGAGAGAGTCTGAGGAGGTCACATACCTGATTCAACCCTGTCCCCTACCAGATTCTTGACTCTGCCACAGGAAAGAATTCAAGAGTAGAATCAAAGTAAAAAGCAAAAGCAAGTTTAATGCAAAAGAGTAAGGAATACACACTTCACAGGAAAAGTACTGGCTGGCTCAAGAGCAAACAGCAGCTGTTTTTTTTCTAGATTCCACCTTTTATAGTTGGCTATCTATATATGTTCATGCTATCTATGAATATTCAACTAAAGGGGTGGTTCCTGGTTATGTAACTATTAGCCTTGCTCATGCTCTGTTTGTTTCTTTTGGCACCAGCACAGCAGTCAAATTCCAGCATATACACCAAGTATACTTAAAATACACTTAGTACTCTCCAGCGCCTCCAGTGGAGGGTGATTTGAGCCAAATTCCTTTTTATTGTGTATGCTCAACTACTGAAATTGATCAAGCTTGTCTCCTGTGGTCTGTATCTTCCTGTGTTGTGCTGAAAATAGGTGCAACATGCAACAGTAACTCTCTTCTAGCTCAGTGCCCAGAGGAGGGGACTGAGCTCCCAGGGAGTTGTTTGAGACTCAGAGGAGCAGGCCTCAGACCTAGACTCCAGGAAACTTGAGTATCGCTTATTTCACAATCACCAGAAATATATGTGTTTGGGGGGAGTTCCTACAGAGGCTAGGACCCCATCCTCCTACTTTTGGATTCTTGGTTTATTTTCATTTTATTGGTGGGCACTTCTTGGCCTTCTAGCTCAGATTTTGGGGGATGTTACTCCACATGTTCTTTGAATCATGCTCCTGTAGCTCAGTCCCCATATTCCCTGATGCTAGACCTCCTGGAAATTAATTGCTAATACAATGTTCAGCACAGATTAGACACACAATATAGTTGAATAAAGGAACAAGCAGGTTATGGCTGTCCCAGACATTGCAAACAATCCACCAGCTTCTTTGGATTCTTCTATGTAGATCTTTAAGTGTAGGGACCCCATGGGCGCCTGAACAGGGACACACCCTAGCAATATGGCGCCCTTCCGGGTTCTTCTCCGCAGTAAACAAGCCCACCCGCGCCAAACCTCAGCCAGTCACAGGTCAAGGCTCACCTCCTGCCCAGCCCAGTCCAATCAGCTACCACCCCGTCCACCCCCTATCCAACCCCAGAACACAGCTCCCTGTAAATGTACACACAGTCCTTAAATAAAGTGAAACTTCTCTGGCGAACTGTCAGCTCGGGTCCTGTCGCCTTATCAGCTCGGGTCCTCCGCCCTTTCATTAAGAATTGCCAGCTTCTCCTTGGCAAGCTTTTATTGCTCTGTTTTATTGGTCTAACTGGTCCTCTGGGTTATGGCTTGCTCTGACATCACTGAATTTCTGAATCACAGTCTGTTCCGAGGCTAACATCTGTCTGTGTTGTTAACCTACTACCTTTGAAATGCACACGCTCAGGCTTCTGTAAATAGGAATGTTTATTTGCAAAAGCCAAGAATCAGCATAGACAAAATAGATATTTTCCATATAGACTCAAACAAGTTTTGGCAAATTTTTCTTTTTAATGATCTTGCTTTGCTAAAACTCAAATATTTTACTCTTTGGTCCACTTACAAGCTTGATGAGTTAGTTAATTAGACCCACATATTTTATTATAGACTCTGAGACATTTAATTAAAATGTGCTAATGTGTAAAATCAAATGTATGTCATTGGTTTCTTAATTTTCCCCAAGTTTAGATGGAGTGAGTAAATGGTACTTAATATAACTTTGGGCTTGTTATAGAGATTTTAAACAAAGTAACAATTAGATTCTCTGTTTATTAAACAGTATCTTAATCTTGAGGTCAAGATTTTACAGTTGGAAGTCTAATACAGTAATCATTTGGTAGCTTTTGACAGATTAAATATTTACAAAATTATAATTTAGTGTGAGAATATGTTTGATAGCTGTTAACATGTCAAAACATGTTAGGCAGCTCTTGCAACCTGTTTGTTAGTGTTAAAAGCCAATTCATGTACAAATTAACTTATAAATATATTGTTAGTCAATGCATAATCAAATGTGGGACTGAAGTAATTTTTCAGACTGTTGGTGTCTAATGAATTATGGTATCTAAGTGATTATAGTATCTAGCCGACTGTAACTTTAATCTGTAATAATGACAGCTTCAGTTATTAAATTATTACTATTACCACACAGTAATTTGACAAGCATTGTGCTAA